AGGAGGGCACATGGAGCAGTTTAATGGGGTGCACAGGTCAAAGGCAACGGTCTCATTCACTGCTCTGCACACTCACTTCTGCCACACAGGAACTAGGAAGAAAAGTGGAGTTAAAGTTGGGAGTGAGAGGGCACCTGGAGCAAATTAATGGGGTGTGCAGGTCCAACGTGGTCGCTTGCCTTGATCTGCACACCTGCTTTTGTGCACAGGAGCTGAGAAAAAAGTCAGGGTGGACGTTGAGAGCAAGTTTTCTCTTTTTGTTATGTCTTTGTCTGGTTTCAGAATTAGGATAATGGAGGTTTGTAGAATAAATTTGAAAATGTTCTTTTTTTGGATTTTGGAAATAGTTTGAGAAGAATTTGGGTTAGTTCTTTAAAAGTTTTGAGAATTCAGAAGTAAAACCATCAGGTCCTGGGCTACTTCTTCAGTTTCATTGCTACTTATGGGTTTATTCAGACTTTCTCTTTCTTCCTGGTTCAATCTTGGTAAGTTATACATATCCAAAAATGTGTGCATCTCATCTAGGTTGTTTTATGTGTTGGCATATAATTATTCATAGAATTCTCTGATATTTTTTGTTTCCATTATGTCCATTGTGATGACACCTAGCTCCTTGCTGATTTTTCTTATCTGGTTCCTTTCTCTATTTTTTTTTTTTATTGCTCTAGCAAACAGTATGTCAATTTTCTTTATCTTCTCAAAGCACCTTCTTTTATTTTTATTTTCTGTATAGTTCTTTTATTCACTATTTAATTTATTTCTCCCCAAATCTTCATTATGTTTTTTCTCGTGGAGTTTTGTTGTTACTGGTTTTCTGTGATCTGTCAAAAGATTGCTTATTTGTCAATTTCTTCTTTTTCCTTGTGGGTATTAATTTCTATGAACTACCTTCTTATGACTGCTTTTGCTGTGTCCTATAGGTCATAAATGCTTGTTATTACTGATTTTTACAAAGCTTTTGATTTCAGTTTTAATTTCTCCTGTAATTGTAGGTATTCAGGAGTAGGTTGTTCAGTTTCTATGTATTTGTCTATTTTCGAAGGTTCTGTAGCTGGTTTTAAGTTTGATTGTATTCTAGCTAAAAATAATGCTGGATATAGTTTTATACATTTAAATTTGTAAAGGACTAATTTGTGTTCTGTCATGTGGTTGATCTTCAAATCTTGTGCATGTCCAAGGTTCCATGTGGGGGTGAGAAACATGTATTTTTTGTGCTTTTAGAGTCAATTACTCTCTAGATGTCTGTCAAAACTATTTCATGTATGGTATCATTTAGATCTTGTATCTCTTTGTTTAT